TGTTTAACTATGTTTTTATTGATTTCAGAGAGGAAGGGAGAAGGAGATAGAAACATCAGTGATGAGAGAGAATCATGGCTCGGCTGCCTCCTGCACGCCCCCTACTGGGGATGGAGCCCACAACCCCGGCATGTGCCCTTGATCTTTTTTCTTTTTTAAAAGGAAGGTACTTCTTCTTATTTTTTAAAATATTTTATTGATTTTTTACAGAGAGGAAGGGAGAGGGATAGTTAGAAACATCGATGAGAGAGTGGGCTGGGTGTAGGCTCGGCCGGAGAAGAAAGCGCTGGGCTCGCCTTGGGGGCCCGGCCCTGGCAGCAGGACGGTGCCCAGGACTTGCGTGGCCTCTCTGGCCTGTGTCTCTAGAATGTTCTCTGCTTCCTCTCTCCCTGCTGCAGACTCGCCTCCGAGTGCTCAGAGCCTCTGCTGACGCCATGTCTCTGGGACCCTGAGGGCTGGGGGAGGAGCCTCCAGCCTCGGGGCCGAGTCCTTGGGGATGTCCTCACCGGGCAGCATCCCCGCGGACGGTGCTGGTCAGCGTTGCGGTCAGCAGTCAAATCCACAGGGACCGCGTGCTTCTCTTCCGTTCATTCCTTTGGTCACACACTCCTTCGCTTTACAACCACTTCCCGAGCACCTGCTGTTTGCGATGCTGAAGGTCAGATAAGGCTCACGAAGGCCCTGGCCGGTGTGGCTCAGTGGACAGAGTGTCGGCCTGTAGTCTGAAGGTTCCTGGGTTCGATTCCAGTCAAGGGCATGTACCTTGGTTTCAGGCTCCTCCCTGGCCGGGGCCCTGCTCAGGGCGCGTGCAGGAGGCAACCAATGGATGTGTTTCTCTCACATCGATGTTTCTCTCTGCCTTTCCCTCTCTTTCCACTCTCCCTAAAAATCAATGGAAGAATATCCCCGGGTGAGGGTTAAAAAAAAAAAGGCTCCCAAAGGAGGGGTCCTGAGCCCCAGCCAGATGCTAGCTGGCTTCTCTGGCATCACCGGCCAGGGAGCGGGGCCAGGCCCGGCCTGAGGACTCCCAGCTCCCGTCCTCGCTGCTCCCGCACGCACTTGCTTTCTGTCCCCGGAACCTACTGGCAGGTCCAGTCCCTGCTCATGCCGGTGCCTGGGCATGCAGCTTAGAAGCAACACAGTGGCATCATTGGGGGAGCGGGTGGCACCCCGAGCCCCTTAACCCCCTGCTCTAATCGTACCGGCCCAGAGCCACGGCCATCGTTTGTCACCACTTCCCAGGTAGACGCACGAACTCTCAATCAGCAGGCCCGACCGCGGAGGAGTAAATAAACAGCACGCGGGCCGAGCGCTATAATTAGAACCGCCATTCGGCTAAAGGAAAGTAAGACGTTTTCATTCCAGGCTCTGCCCGGGCTGAGCTGCTGCTAGGGAACAGCCGTGTGTGAACACGTTGGGAGCTGCGAGGCGGGAGGCGGCGTAGCACGGAGATGGGTTCTTGTGAGTGGGGCTGGCATGCACTCCCCACATGTCCGTCCCGTGTTTACCTCCCAGAGCCACGCTAACGTGGTGATTGGTATCCTTCAGGCGTTTGTCAGTTACCTGGGTGATGTCGCCCAACATTTCTGACTGTATTCGTATAGCAGGTTGGCACCGTTCACTGGCAAGACGGGGTGACGACAGGAAGGACACGAGCTAGTCATTTAACACTTTCTCTCAAGTACCATCTCCACGCCGGGCACAGTGAATACCAAGTGACTTGCTTTCACGGAGCTCACGTGTAGCAGTTGCAGGCAAGTAAGACAAACAACAAACAGGCATCGACCTAAGGACATAACACCCACAAAATGCCCGGTGGCGAGAAGCGGTGCCAAGGAGTGTGCAGGGCAAAGGGATGGAGAGCGATGGAGGGCGCCGTCTTAGGTCAGGTGCCTGGGCGGAGTCCGATGAAGTGACACTGCAGGACAGACCTGGATGACATGAGGGAGCAATGTGCTGTGGAGGGAAAGGGCACTCAAAAGTGGGAACAGCCAGTGCAAAGGCCCTGGGGCAGGAGTTGGCCGGGAGGGTCTGAAGGCCAGTGTCCGGGAGCAGAGCAGAATTTAACTGACTGGGTTTTCAGATTGTAGACACCTGCTGATTACAGGAGCCTGATGCAGCTGAACCCATGGTTTCACCTTGTTCTGAGGGAGAGGTGAGGGGTGAGGTCACGTGGCCCTGCTGCATCAGCTCGGGCCCCTGCTGCTGGGCCAAGCTCTGCTGGCTCACATCGGTCTGTCTGCCGTGTTCAATATTTATCGCCTAATGGCATGACAAATCGCATCGCATGTAGCTGTCTTGTCAATGAGGAAGCAAAGTAATTAAGTGTTAAAATTCTATTGCTTCAATCCCCCAAGCTGTGCTCGCTTCGAGTAAATTGAGTGACTGTGAAAGACCTCGGTGCCGGCTGGTAAATGGCCTGTCACATCCGGGGGGACGGGAGCCCCGCGCTCAACAAGACCTGCTGGACTCGTAATGTCAACATGACAAATGGGCCAGGCTTGCGTCCTTGATCGCGAGCATTTATCTCCCGCCGGCGGCGGAGGAGCAGGCCGGCTGCTCGTTTGCCTCATCTGCTGAGGATGAAGGTGACTGGCAGGTGGGCTGTAAGCTCCGTGGACGGGGCACCGGGAGGCCACGTCGGTCCACAGCAGCGCCCGGGCACTGCCTCTTAGGCCTCCGCCCGCCACAGGCCGGGTGCCTGTGCCCAGGCCTGACCTCCCCACTCCCAGCAGACTGCTCCCCCTCCCCACTTCTCTCCTTATTTCTGATGCCAGGACTGAGCGCCCATTCTCGGCCAATAGGTTTTTTACAAATCATTGTAAAATATACATAACATGGTATTTATGAATCTAACCATTTGTCAGTGTACAAGTCACTGGCAGTAAGTGTTGCGCAACCCTCCCCCTGCCTCTCAGGCCCTAACCCTCCCCCTGCCTCCCAGGCACTAACTCTCCCCCTGCCTCCCGGCCCGGGGGCCTCTGGTCTGCTCTCTGTCCCTGTACCGTGGCCACGCCAAGTACCCACAGAAGTGGGAGCTGCAGTGTCTGTGTCTGGCTTACTTGACTCACCACGTTTTCGAGGCCCATGTAGGAAAATCCCATTCCTTCTTACAGCTGTATACGCTTCCACCACGTTCTGTAGCCACACGAGGCTGCTTTTGGAAAGGGCCAGGCAGCCGCGCTCACTGCACTGGTCCCTGCTCAGGCCTGGGTGTAGCCATCTCCTTGGCCTCAAGGCCCAGCCTCGCTGCTGTGTTAGCCCCGAGGACAGCGGATGGTTACTGCCCACCCCTTTGACTCTAGTCCACAAGGGAACCTGGGGGAAGCGATGGGAGAGACCAAGAGCAGGTTCTGTCCTGGGATCTGCGGAGCGCTGATGCGATGCTAACGCCCACAAAGTAGAAAACCCATTTGGTCATAGACAACCAGCCCCAGAGAGCCAGCCTGTGCGCTGTTGCCATGGGGACCGTGGAAGGTGGCTGCGCAGTTCATCTCGAGGGCTGGCCCGCGTCCCTGCAGCACTGAGGACTGCCCACCTCCCAGGTGAGTCAGCGAGAGTCCTGTCGCTCTGCCGGCCACACCTTCCCCCTCCTCTGACCACGCACACGCCCGGCCGCCCCTGGTGAAAATGTGGCCGGAGCCATGGCTCCTGTCGCTGTTTCCGACCATAAAGTCATGAGCATTCGACCTCAGAGGGACCCAGGACTCCTCCAGCTGGTGAGGGAACAGGCCCAGGGAAGCCACGGGCGTGGTCACTCGCCACAGCTGCGACCTGGCCCGGTGCTCCCGACTCCGCTGTTGTCCCCGCTGACCAGGAGGTCTGGGGCCTGCGGTCAGGGACGCGGGCGGTCCCAGAGGTGCAACCAGACTGCTGCTCGTTCCCCTCGACCCTTAGCATCACCAGTGCCTGCGTCGGAAAGGGCCGCCTCATCCTGCAGGACTCAGCT